AGTGACTTCCAGCTGGGCTTTTACCTTTCAGATTTTCGCTTTGCATGCTCTGACAACGTCTTTGTACTCTTCATGGGTTACCTGTCCCTTCTTCCAAGGCTGGTAAACTCTCTTCTTATTCCTGAGTTCCAACCAAAGCTCTCTGTTCAACCAGGCCGGTCTTCTTCCCTGTCGGCTCATCTTGCGGCACATCAGGACAGCGTGCTCCAGTGCCTTTTAAATGGCCTCCTTGAAGAGTGTCCAGCCTTCCTGGATCTCTTTTCCCATCAAAACTGTTTCCCAGGGGACTCTCTCAACCAGTGCCCTGAATAGGCCAAAGTCTGCTCTCCGGAAGTCCAAGGTAGCTGTTTTGCTGTACCCTTTCCTTACCTTAGCAATGATTGAAAACTTTATCATTTTGTTGTCACTATGCCCGAGATGGCCTTCAGCCACCACATCTCCCACCAGTCTCTCTCTATTTGTAAACAGCAGGTCTAGTGGTGCACTTCCATGCTAGTCATGTGTACTGTTTGGCTGAATAATACCCTGTGTTGGTAGCTACCTCATCATTACACATTCGTGGTTAAATGTTCTGCAGTCTGCATTGCCTCAGACCTTAGGGACAGTACCTCTATTACTACATAACATCAAGAGGTGCTTGCTGACTGGTCAGGGGTTTTGAATAGTTGATACCAGTGCAAAGAATACCAATATGATTGGAATCATACCATCTTGCTTTCCCATTTCAACGTAAGAAGGGTGGAGTTCCGGGAGAAGCAGAAGTCGTCACTTTCCTTCCACGTGGCCTCCTTTTCTGAAAAGTAGAAACAGGTGTCGCCTCCAAACCATTTCCAGTTTACAGGACAGAGTGAACATACGGGTCCTAGAACAGACAGAAACCATCAGTCCCTTATAAACAGCCAAAGGAAGAGTTGAGAAGCCTACACCCATAGACCTGGAAAGTCAAAGTTATGCAGAGCTGAAATGTATATGGCACTTTATGGGGCTCATCTATGCTCATTCTTTTTTTTTTAAACTCATTATTTAATCTGATGTAGCATGTAAGACCCTTATTTAATCTGATATAAGGCCTAACACACAGATTTCAGGCTGTGTGAGCAGTAGTTCTACTTGCTGTCTTCTTACCGTTTCTGTCATCCATCAAGCACAATCTCTTCTTTAGTCCTTGCAAGTTTTCATTATGTGCTGCAGGTACCTGAGAATCTCTGAGACCTGGAGTTTATAAAGATATTCTTCATGAGATAAAAAAGCTGTGATGATGCTCCTACATGATACGTGCTTCATCATATATTGCACATTCACTTTTTGCAACAGTGTGCTCACATGCAACTCTGATGCTACAGTGTCACATATTATGAGGAGATTAGCAGATGAGAAAAAGATGGATAGAGAGATTTCCAAATTTTAAATGCGGTTTAATCACAGGGACATTGCAGGCCACTTGGTAACCTAATGGAAGAATAAATAATGCAAAAAACCATATGCTTATGAATGACTATCTTGAACTAATCATGTTACTCTTAAAGGAAGTTATATAAAACTTTGAAAAAAACTAAAATTCTAAACATACTTCAGGTTAAAAAAACTTTTATTCTTAAAGGCTGATAAAACTTCTCCAAAGAAAGTAGGGGGGATTTTTTTGTGTATCTTCCTCAACAATATTTAGATACTGGCTTTTGGTAGCAACAGCTCAGAACAACTATGTCCAGGCTCTGTGAGAGAAAGTACAGGTACAGTTCGTCACACATGGTGAAAGCTAATATAAATATAAGTCTTCAGTTCTCTTGCCCATCTCAGGTAAACTAGGATGACTGAGTGAAACAGACAGAAAAAGTGAGATTTCCTCATGAATCTGAGTGCTAGAAGTACATCCATTTTTAACATACTAATATGAACTAATTTAAGACAGTAGTCTACAAACATGAAAGGTTGGTCTACAAACATGAAAGGTTTATTAAGGGAATGAGACAAGAACTGGTACTCCAGTACAGTAGAGGGACTTGAACAACAAGAGAAAAGAAGGGAAACAACATACTGATTTATGAAAGTCAACATTAGAATTTTATAATTCAATTCGAATTAGCAATTAAATGAGTAATAGATAGATGAGGACAGAATCCATTCCTCCCAGTCTTTCCAAAATATATCATTTTGACTTCTATATCCTTACTTTGGGCACAGGTCCAGACTTAAAAAAATGCTCCCCTCAAAGCCTTATGTGCACCAAGCTGCAGAGTGTTCATCGCAGGCAATTTGGAGGAGAGGAAAGCACAGTATATTTGGGGAGGATGAGCTATGACTGTCCTTGTTGCAGTCAGTCTGCCACCTTTCTTCAATGCAGCTATTCCCAAGGTGTTAATATGAATAAAGGAACACAGTATATTTCAGCACTTACCTAGGACTATCATTCCTATGGTGAGGGCCAGGCATAGTGCAAACAAAGTGAAGATGGCTGGCCACCATACAGCAAAGGGAAGAGAGCGCCCTGAGAGAAACCAACAATTTATCTGAGGGCAGGCATCCTGTTCAGCAGCACTCCCAACCCTCCACCCTTCCATGAAAGACCATTCCCCTTCCAGGCCATAATATATTTTAAAGATCAACCCAAACACAAGCTGAGAAGATGTGGTGCATCAGTTAAAGAGGTCTGTTTGAAAGGAAACACTGGACATGGTTTAAACGGAACAGGTGGGGGATTCCTTGCCTTTGACAAATGATGAAACTATAGAAACATTGTAGTGATCCTTTGACGTAGAGGTAGGTGATGCCCCTGTTCTCCTATGGCAGTACTGCATTACTGTGCTCTGTCAGAACAAAGTAAGGAAGTGTTTGTGCACCATCTTACATTTTGCACAAATCCTTCCTGCTTTCAGGGCACACAGTGCTCAGGCCGCATGCCAGCTCCAGGCTGAAGCCCAGTTCAGGAAAATTCTTCAAATCATAGAATTGTTTAGGTTGGAAAGGACCTTTAAGATCATCGAGTCCAATCGTTAACCTAACACTGCCAAGTTCACCACGTCCCTAAGCACCACATCTACATGTCTTTTAAATACCTCCAGGGATGGTGACTCCACTGCTTCCCTGGGCAGCCTGTTCCAGTGCCTGACAACCCTTTTAGTGAAGAAATTCTTCCTAACAGCCAATCTAAACCTCCCCTGGTGCAACTTGAAGCCATTTCCTCTCATCCTATCACTCGTTTCTTGGGAGAAGAGACTGACACCCATTTCACTACACCCTCCTTTCAGGTCATTGTAGAGAGTGATCAGGTCTCCCCTCAGCTTCCTCTTCTTCAGGCTAAACACCCCAGCTCCCTCAGCCGCTCCCCATCAGACTTGTGCTCCAGGCCCTTCACCACCTTCGTTGCCCTTCTCTGGACTCGCTCCAGCACCTCAAGGTCTTTCTTGTAGTGAGGGACCCAGAACTGAACACAGAACTCAAGGTGCGGCCTCACCAGTGCCTAGTACAGGGAAATGATCACTACCCTGGTCCTGCTGGCCACAGTATTCCTGATACAGGCCAGGAAGCCATTTGCCTTCTTGGCCACCTGGGCACACTGCCGGCTCATGTTCAGCCGGTTGTCGACCAACACCCTCAGGTCTTTCTCCACCAGGCAACTTTCCAGCCATTCTTCCCCAAGCCTGTAGCATTGCATGGGGTTGTTATGACCCAAAAATATCAATATATATATGTTCTGGAGTCCAAAATATCCACTGAGGTTTCCTTGGATTCAAAAGTTCCTGAGAGTTACCATCACCAAATGGTCATGGCAATGCAGTATCATGGACCTTTCGGATGAAGAAACATTTAACTCAACACTGGATGTGCTCTTGTAGTACAAGGTTTAGCTCAGCTGGAGCTATGGGACTTGAGGAAGGGAGATGATATGACCTATGCATTCAGGCCCAGTGCTGCCTTATCCCTTCTGGTCTTAAAGGCTATGAATCTTAAGCATTTTCTGAAAAATTGAGGTCCAGAGGGCAAAACATGAAAGGTTTTTTCCTACTAAAGTCAGATTGTCCTGTCTCTATAGCCATTTCCTGTAATAATAAATAAACAATAAACAAAACTAAGCACAGTAAAGCTGATTCCTACATTCCAGAGTTTGATCCTGAAGTGACCCATTTTTTCCCACAGAAATTTAGGGCAAGTAATGGCACTAGTTCCACTCTATGCATTTTCACATTCATGCGTGCTGGTTTTTTGCCAGACAAAACAATACAACTAGTACATTAAACCTATAAGTACATGTTTTTCTTATGTATTGAGCTGGACAGGAGACACTGTTCCTATTGTCATTATCTACCATATCATAGAAAGTTCAAAAAGCAAGTGTCAGTCGTACCTTGGTCGATGTTCAGGGACATGTAGTGTCTGTCTGGATGCTGTGGCAGGTAATTTAAGGTAGAGTATCCATTCTCTTCTTCTGTATTCATATGCATTATCTGAGAACTCATTCGTGGTTCAGTAACGATCCTCTTAAAAGACAGACTGAATGATTTGTGAAGGAGAAGCAAAAAGAAAAGCAGAAAGAGGGAGGGGATAGGAGAATGAGTCACGCTTCAAATGCTTTAAGGGAAGATATTCATATTCAAATGTTATGTGTGACTCCTCCTTGTCCTCCTTCAGGGGAAGAACTCCTCTTCCCACTCATCACATCTCAGCCTGGGTCTGCATCACCAGATCTAGAGACAAGCAGCGATGACATGAGTCCTAGTAAAAGTATGGCCTGGTAGTTCTCCTCTTTTCCATTTAGCCTTTCCCTGACTTTCATCTCCTTTGAACTTTCCACATTTTCATACAGAACAAACAACTTAGATTCATCTCAGAGGCAGACTAACTTCAGTTCTGTGCCTTTTTCATTTTTCAGTATTAAGGGCTAAAAGTCTGGGTGTCTGTATTCAACTGAGAGCAAAGTTCTCAGCTGCAAAGAGCTAATCACACAGAGGAGGTAGGAAGTCCTGTCCAGATTATAATGTCATCTTCTCAGAGGGAGGAGTGGGAAACCAGAGTGTGGGGAAAAAGACACAGATAGCATTTAACAAATAAGAGAAGTGAGCCCTTGTGGCAAAGGCTAACCACATACTGGACCAATCTGGCAAGAGTGCAGCTAACAGTGCAAAGGAGGCGATGATTCTCTTTTCTCCATCACTTGTGAATATGCAGCTGGAATACTATGTCCAGCTTTGGGCTCTCCAGTTAAAAAAAAAAAAAATAAATCCTGTAAAACACATAACTTCTAAAATTGGTCAAGGGGAGAGCCAGCAAGGTGCTTAGGAGCTGGAGCACTTGATTTACAGGGATAGACTCTGATGACTGGTTTTGTTTATCCTGGAGAAGAAAAAGCTAAGGACAATCCAATTAAGGTCTCTCACTGCATAAAGGGGCTATGGAGAAGATGGAGCCAGATGCTCAGAGGTATACAGGGAAAGGACAAGAAGCAATAGCCATCAGTTACAGGTAGGATGGTCAAATATTGGAAGAGGTGCCCAGAGAGGGTGCATCATCTCCATCCTTGGAGATTTTCTGAACCTGACTGGACAGGGACTGGACTTTCTGATCTAGCTTTGAAATTAGACCTCCTGAGCAGGAGTTTGGACCAGATGGACTTCAGAGGTCCCTTCCAAATTAAATCTTTCCATGACTCCATGATATATGAGTATGAAGGGAAGATTCACTACCATTTTTAGGGGAGAATGCTCAAGGGAACATTAGTAGACGACCTGAAATAGCATCATCTGTTCCTCTTTCTTCTAATTTGAAGAGACAAATTTAGAACGTGAGAAACAGACTGGATACTACTTCCTTTAGTAACTCAAATTCTCTGCACCACCCAACTACAATAGGAACCCATTTTTCTTTTTGCAAAGCTTGGCTCCCAGCTTGCTGGCCTTCTGCACAGCGCTATGCACTCTTCCCTTTTTCCTTCGGAAGTTCCACTACCAGGAGAATATAGGATGTATTAAAGTCATGATGTCAAGAAAGAATTTTCTGAAAGGTTGGCACCTCACCTGCTGCCCCAGATGTTTCAGATGAGTAGAGGTTTATTTAATTTAACACAAAACAAATACAAAAACTGACCAAGTGAAGGAAGGGACAGAGTGAAGGACCATGCTCCATGAACAAAATGATACCAGTTGAAAGATGCTGTTAAAGAGAGAAGGTACTGTGGGAAAGACCAGGCAGGCTTAGAGCGATGTGAATCTGTAGGGTGATGGTGAGATTGTGTAACTGGAAACCTGTCATTAAAGATGCTTGAGCCAGAGCTGAGACCTGTGTCAAGGAGTCCGGGCACTCCCAAGAAAAGATATACGGCAGAACCATAGTGTCTTAAGTCTTAAGACTTATGTCTTAAGTGCCGTTGTTTGAAAGGAACCTCTGGAAGTCATGCGGTTCAACCTCCTGTTCAAAGCTGGGGCAAACATTAGATACATCTCAAAATGTTAACCGTGTAATTAATTACTTCTACCAGGGCCACAAACTAGAAATCTACATTTTCATGCAACAGAATACTTGAAGCAGTTCTTGAGAACACTGACATTTAGAAGGTGTACTTCAAAATTGATTTTGGGTATCATGAAATAAGGTACAGTGAGTAAAGTATATCTGAGGGATAGGAAACTCTCTCAGTATAGTAATTTATTGAGATTATTTACATACAGATTCTTCTCCACTTAAAAGTGACTAAAAGAAGAAGTGTGTCTAAATATATGCCATGCTCAGGAGACTTTTAATGGGAGGGATTTAGGAAAATGGAAATGTTACATACCCTTAGTATCATGTTCTCATCAGTTCCCACACATCTGTGTCTTTCTAGCAATATACTGGGGCAAAGCTGGGGCAGCTTTGAACTCTGATGAAGTTGCTCAAGGACTTGTCCAGTCAAATTCATGCAGTCTCCAAGGACAGAGATCTCCCAGCCTCTCTGGATACCTGTTTCTGTGTTTGGCCACCCCCATTGTGAAGAAAATTCTCCTTGTGTTTAACTGGGATTTCCCTTACTACAGTTTCTGTTAGTTGCCTCTAGTAGTGCTCTAATCAGCCCTGGCAGAGCGTAAGTATGAATATGGAGACAAAACTGAGATCTCCAAAGGAGCATTTGCTGATAAAGAGATAGTCCCATGTCTGCCATTGTAGCTGTACTCCTGGACACCTTCTTGTAGTCTTTTAGTCACATTTTACTGATTAAAAAGCATATCAGTGAAAGATATTATAATGGTTAAATATTTTAAGATTCTGATTTGAAATAGAAAGAACAGAGAAGGAGGATCCAGGGATGGATAAGCATGAAATTCTTTAGTAAATTGGCTGACCTTCACAGGGAAGGGGTATTTTTCTTTGTTGTTTTCTACAGACAGTGTCTGTGAAGACAGATTAGCACCATATTATTTAGCATCTTGCTGACAGTGTGTTTCAGCCTGTGAGCACTGGCATCTACTGGCAAGCTTGAACCCCCTCCAGGGCAGTGGGTGTGCTCATAACAAGGAGATGGAGGCCATTTGGAATGAGAGAGGATGCTCTCGGTGCAGGGCCTGGAGCACAGAGTGCAGTGGAGGATGTGAAGAGGCACTGTGCAGCTGAGGTGTTTGGTTCAACTCTTTTAGTTCTGAACCTGTCTTCCTGACATCCATGAACTCTGCTTTTTCCTATCCAGCAGCTAACATTTAGGTTCCTCCCATTTCATTGTCTTGGTTATCTCGTTGCAGATGGGCAAATGTGAAGCTGTCATGCTCCTTCCACTTCAGGACGGCATTACAGGGCCCATTCCCCCAATGCACCCCTTTGTTCACTTCACCCCTGTCTTCTTCAATGTCCATGTTCTGTTTGAAGGGATGTTGAAGCCAATACCTTCTCTTTAGTTCCCAAATCTTTCAAGATTTGTGTTGTCTCAGGCTCCACCAAGGACTTTACTCTCACACTTAGTATACAATACTGGTTTTATTTTTCCATACAAAATGTGTTTCAAATGAACCACTTCTCTGAACTTCCTATTGCCATGGAAGGATTGTGGACCTCCGTGAGCAGCTTGTGTCTTGGGCTCCATACGTGTGTAGTCAGAAGAACTTTGACAGCCTCTGAGATAGACGGCAGACTGGATGAAGTAATGGATTTGCTTGAATTTACAATACTAGATACTATAAATTCTTCCCTCTGAAATATGCCACTATTAACAGAGGAAAAGCTCTTTCTAAGCTGCTGGGGCCAAGATTTGGGCTAAGACCAAATGAAGTTTACTATATGAAAATATGGAAAAGTTTATAAAGATCATCGAGCCATAGAAATGAATGAAATGTACTCTGCAAGTTATCACCATTGAACTGACCTTCCTACAGTAACAGTGAATGCTCCCTAAAAAGTCACACCAAGTAGTCAGCATGAAACCCAGAGGCTAACATTTGTTTTCACAATGCAGCCATCAAACAAAGGCGTATAGCAGATTGCTTGAAAAAAAGTCAAGTGTTAATTTTTGGGTAGAAAAAGGGGTAACGTGGCAGCTTAGATGCCTGCTGTGAATTTTTTTTTTCAAGTCGAATGGGTTGAAACAGATGAAACATAGTACCTTACTTGCATTGTGCCTTGCACTTCCTACTGTAGTAGTCAGGAATTCTAGATAGTTCAACTGGTGGTTGTGCCCACGAGTTATGACTTGGCTCTACTGAGTATAGTGAATTTATTCAGTTCACAAATATCTTTCAGCACATTAGGAAGGGGAGTTAATTTTTTTACCAAGGAACCACTTCAGTCTTTGAGAATATTTTCCAATGAAATATTGAATATTAAAGATATGTTAGTATTCTTTCATTTATTTTAAGTAAAGTCGCCAAATACTAAGGCATATACACATAGATATAAAGTGTATATATACAAGGAACATATGCATATGTAACACAAAACAGATGCTGACATACAAAACTTCAAAGAACTTATGCAATGAAACTCCACCCAGAAAAGTGGAGGCATAATTTTCTTTCAAGTTAGTGTGTACAGTAGAGAATTCAGTGAGTAAAATCATCAAGGATGTAGTTGGACTGGTTTATGACTGGCAGGTATTAGTGTAAAAAGCCAACTGAAGCTCCAGAAATACAGAGATTAGCAAGAACATTTGTTTGTCAACCTAGAGAGTCACGCAAGAATCATTGCTCGAGTGTAGCTAATTCTTTCAAGTTGCTTCCTAGGTTTGTAGTTTTTAGCTTTGTAGGTTTTTTTTCCTCTCTCATTTGTGAGCTTGGGAGGAAAAATGCAGATGAAAAGGAAGATTTAGTCTCTAATGACCTGTTCATTTGAACCACCATTCTGAGAAAACTGCATGTTAAACAAATAAAAATTAAAATGTATTTAAAACTTCCAGTTCCTAAAGTTGATATTTCACAGTGGCAGATCCCACATCCCTTCTTGCAATACTTCTTCAGGCGAAGTGAACAGCCACTTTCTCACAGATCCAGAATTGCTTTGTTGAACAGGAGTGACTGGCATAAATAATCCGTCCATATAAGGAGGCACAGAAGAATTTGTCATAGAACATAACCCTAGGAAATTAAAAGATATGGCTTAATGATGTCCTGGTCACATCATGTGATCTGTATTTGGACTATTTGCAATCATACTGATTTGCCCCTGGAAAGTAGTTATTTCCCCCTTGGAGCTATTTCATTTGTGCTGGGTGGTCTTTTTGAGTCTGGTGCATGTGATCAAGCTGTACTTTGCCACTCATTGTTCCTTATACAGAACACAAATTCAGATCTCCATAGTAGATACTATGGTCTCCGTGCGCCTTCGTCATTGCACATGCAACAAACATGGGAAAGTAAGAAGAAGCACAAGTCATAATTTACTGGGGTCCATCAGATAGAATCACACTGGTCCTAAGTTATGAAAGCTTACCAATTTGTCACTTCCCTTGAAAAAGCTGTTCCATCCTCCCAGTACCAACCGCTCCTTTCAGATACGTATGATAATCCAACCCAGTAAAACTGTGAATCCTGTGGCAGAGAAACCTGTAGGTATGAGAAAATCATCACAACAATATTTCAAAAATAAGATCTAAGTTCCTATATCTCCCAGCTGTGAAGGTTCTGCAACCAAAAAGGAGATAACTCTTACTCAATAGCGGAGTAACCTATTGTCCATTCTTGTTTTCCATGAGGCAGTGCTGACTCCTCTGATTATAGGATCATTCAAATACTGTTTATTGAATTGCCACAAGACAAATGTACCCTGGGTCTGTAAAAACACTGCTTTTTTTTTTTTTTTTTAAAGCAAAAACCAAACAAACAACAAAACAGTTTTATCTGGTCTGTCTTCAGGTATCTACACTGCCTTTAGATATCTGCAGTTTAGATATAGATATGGGAGCACTGTTTAAATCCCAGTTCGAGTCAGTAGAGATCTAGCCAACAGCCCCAACGGAGCCAGAGAAGTGATCGATCTCACCTTGTGGGAAGGCTTGTGACCAGTGACTGTATTGGCCCGATCTCCCACTGACTGTAATGAAGCCTGAGGAGGTAGCTCTGAAGTTGCAGACTGCTTACACTGTAGATGCCTGACGTTAGGCGAGATGAATCCCAGCCTAGAGGGCAGAACCTGTTCCCTAAATACAGGCCTCTAGAACCTTTTGAGATTCTCCAACCTGTCTGAAGCCTTCACATATGGCTGACAGGCAAGACCCAGAACCCATGGGAGAACTGAGGCTTGATGAGGCATTATTTGGAAGTCAAAGAGAATACCCCATGGCATCTCAGATTGCCATAGAAACCTATGCTTAGGCATCTGAATCGTTCCTGAGGTGTCTAAATGCTACCTAAGATGTTCCTCAGCACCTTAGCCTGTTCAGATCCTCCAGATACTCTATTGCTGCTTAGTAGCCTGTTTAGGGACTCATCCAAAATCTAAAATCCAAAGCTGGCTTAAATTGGTCTGGCCTCAATCTGGCTGCAGCTGCATATACCAAACAAGGAAGAAAAAGCAAGCACCCAGACATCTGGAATCAAACTATCCAGGGATTTATAAAGCATACCAAAATAATCTCTTGAATTCAGCATTGGAAGAGTGGTGTCCAGGTGTCTACCACAATTCTGACCTCCGAATGCTGCTAAACTCAATAATAAACTATTTCTCTGCTTTCTATTTTGTCTCTACCCATCTGAATTTCACTTAAAAAAAAATAATTCCAAAATGCCAGCTTTTATGCCTTAAAATAAAAGAGTTGAGAACTCCCATCTCAAACTAACTCCATCTGGAAAAAGGAGAGAGATTTCCAGGGAAGTTTGTTTCCTTTAAAAGTTTTATATAGCAAAAGAAAATAAGAATATTTGGGCTTTGTGTAGTAAGCCTAATAGCTGTTGAAAAAGAGGTTCCCAAATAAATGTGTACAAAAAGGAAAAATATGGTCTTGACAGAAGATTACAGATTTTTCATTAGTCAGAAAAAACCCCACCAAATTAGTAAGACTACTTAAAATTATTAATTCCCTAAACCTTTTTCAGTCATCATAATATAATCCTCTGCTGTCTAGCTTTTGTGCCGTCATTAACACCACTCTGTGAGGATATAACACCAGGTCAGACAACAGCCTTTTGTAGTTGCTTTGCACTGCAGTGTGCAAATGCCAATACCATGGTGAATTGGCCGCTCTCTAGATTTCACGTAGATATGGGAGCCCTCAGTAATTAAACTTGTGGAAAGAGATAAGGAAAACATGCATTCTGTGTGCTGGGTCTCTCCTCGGTGCTGATAATATGCAATTTGTTTTCTCTGTGAAAACCTAAGTATTAGCTAATTAATTAATTAATTAACCTAAGTGATTGCTAATTAATTTTATACAATGGCTTGCTCTATTTCTTATAATACATAATTTCACTGTTTCTCTAAGCACACAATTTAGAAAGTGTTACAAGTCATGACAATCTTATGACTTGCAGGAAGGCTACTTGACTCAGAGAAAATGAAATACACGCACTGTAAATGACCAAACTATTTTCTGCCTGTAAGATTGTTGGAAGTTAAAACACGTGACATAAAGGAATGCATGAGGTGAAGACTGTACCATCTTTGCTTTGTCTTTTAGCACAAGAAGAGTGGAGTTTCTTGAGGAACAGAACTCCTGGCTTTGCTTCCATGTTTTCTTCTGCTTTGAAAAGTAGAAGCAGTCGTCAGCTCCGCTGTTTTGCCAACTTGCTGGACAGACAGCGCATTTTGTTTCTAGAAATCAGAGACAGTATTATGCAGACCTGCAAGGAATACAGGGGCTTTAGCTACTGGTTTAACTGAGAAAAGCTTAAGGGTAGCCATGAATCAGCTTGGCTCTTGAGGGGCGAGGAAATGTTTTGCATGTTAGTGTACACATATCTGCATCTCAAATACTACTACAGTTAAAACCAGACACTAACCAATCAGATCTTTCCCCTGTGATTTTATAGCCTCTCAGTCAAAGGGCTCTGAAAAAGGAGTGATTTGTGTTTATTTACATAACAACCACATTTACCATTTTTCTTCTTCCCTTCAAAACACAATGCTTCCCTCATTTCCTGCAGCTTCTTTCCTTCCTCAAGATCCTTGGAAACCTGAAAAACTGAAGGGCATGAAAGTGCTTGTTAAAACTTGTTTTTAAACAATTGTAGCTTTTGGGTTTTGGTGTTGGTTTGGTGTGGTGTTTTTTTTTTTTTTGTCTACTTCGTTTGTATGTCCACCATTGTGTGTACATCATCTGCATTTTCTTCACCAGGAGGGTTGTGCGGCACTGGTAAAGGTCACCTGGGAAGGTGGGAGCATCTCCATCCTTGAAGATTTTCAAAAGTCATCTGAACAAAGATACAGATGAGTTTACCTGGGGGTTGGTGACAGTCCAGCTTTGAAAGGTGGGGAGGAAAGGGTGGATGTCAATCTAGAAACCTGAAGAATTACCTCTGAGCTAGCATTTCTGTGATGCCATAGACCACCCTGAGTGTTCATCCTGGGCACTTGCAACTGCTTCCTTCCTGCCAAAAGGAAGCTAGGGACTCTCTGTCTCTGCTTCCAAATGTAATGTGGCCTCATATTTGGTTGTTAATTGAAATGTTTCTATGGACAATCTGCTGTAATCATTTGGCAAATGCACCAGTCGCAATGCTTTGATGTCGGGATTGCCTTCCCTGCAAAAAGCTTGCAATCCAAGAAAAAAAAGGATCTGTTGAATGTGAAATATTCCGGTAACAATCATGAGGAGGCACCATTATCCAGAGAATGTGGACAACGAGATGGGCTTCTGGCTGGGAAAACTAAGCATTTCAGAAATGGGTTAGGATTGGGGGTTAGGGTTAGTTAGCAGTTAGGGTTAGGGCTAGGGTTAGGATTAGGTTTTAGGGTAAAGGTTAGGCTTAGGGGTATAAGATTAGGGTTGCGGTTAGGGTTAAGGTTAAGGTTGGGGTTAGGATTAAGGTTACGGTTAGGGTCATTATGGTTAGGGTTAGGCATTAGGTGTTAGGGTTAGGGTTATGTTTAGGGTTATGGTCTACTATTAGGGTTGGGGTTAGGTTTAGGAGTTAGGTTTATGCTTAGGGATAGGGATAGGGTTAGGGATTAGCTTTAGTGTTAGGGTTAGGGTCATTAAGGTTAGGGGGTTAGGACTAGGGTTAGGGTTAGTTAGATTTAGGTCTTGCATTAGGATTATTGTAACCCTTAGAGTTAAGGTAACTAGAAGTGCAGATTTTAGTGACCCTGAGTGACCTGTGCTGACACTCATCTGTGAGGGTACTTCTGTGGGAGAGCTGCACTGTTACTTTTCTTGCCTTATTATTTGTGTTAGGGGAACAGGGACAGCAGGGACAGTCTGAAGGGGGAGAAGAAGCAGCTGTACATCTGGAACTCACTCCCACAGCAGCAGCTGGAGATATCATGGTACTTACACAGGGCCAGAAGGGCTACCAGCCCTGTAAGCAGTGCCAGGCACAAAGCGAGGAAAGCAATAGAAGGAAGATGAGGCAGAGGCTCCTGGAACAAAAAAAAAACAACATTCATCAGCAAAACCAGCAGCTCTCCTCATCATGCAGTGGTATTACCACATCTCTGATAACACCAGTTCACCTTTATCCCTTCTGCAGAGCATCTCTTGTTCTTACTGCAGTTTTTGTTATCACTGTACTGAATTTCCTGGAGTAATTTTGAGAAAATACCTATTTATCCACTTGTTGTGGTTTAACCCCAGCCAGCA